CTAAAATAGAATTAGAGAGATCCACTTAGACTTTAGTTTTCACACACAGATACAGCATTAATGAATCTATTTCATTAAGCAAAGCAACTATGCTAGCTTAATGTTTATTATTAATTCATTTTACATGCATCACAAACTTCTTAGATGCAGTTCATGCAAATGATTACAAAACAGATTGCCCTTGAACTGCATTCTCAAGGTCGAAATACTTGGATTTTATTTAAACCAACAGGGGGAGTAGATTTTTCTTGGAGATCCTGGGACCAAATCTCAGAAGTGTGGATCCAAATGCAGAATCATACAAGAATGTTCTCTGAATAGGCCAAATAATACAACAGATATGTGTACACAAAATGGATAGCTGGAAAATATTATCAAAAGTGACTAAAACCATCTGCAATTATTAAATTTAATAGTTGTCGTATTTCATTATGAGTTGTGATAAAAAGGATACTGAAGGTATCTTTCCCTTGTTTTGATAAATTTGAATTAAATATATACACACACACACACACACACACACACACACATACCTATAAAACAATGAACTAGATTTTTCTAAAACCCTGGAATGTCTCAAAATAATATCTATCCCTGACGGTAATCAAGCACCAAGAGGAAAAAGAAAACATTAATTTACCCCCTTCCAAACAACAGATTCAAGCTAATTGGGATGTGATTTATCTCGGTGCTTTTCGAAATACCTGTTTTTAAACTCTTTAGTGGCCAAATTCATTAAGTGTAATTCATTTAGGGATATCTGCGATTTTGAAATTCTACAAAGTTATGAAAAAAATAGAAGTTAAATGAATATCTTTGGGGCTGGATGATGATATAAAATGATTCTCCTAAGCATCCCTGCTTAAGTTTCATCCCAAATGTTGAGATCTAAACCACCTGATTACTAAGACTGCATTATATTTATCTGAGGGGGCATCAAGCAATACAAATTCAATATGAAAGCATTGTTTCTAGAGTAAAATAATTACATTCACCTTTATTGGAATAAATGTCATCCGGATCTCTTTTCCATTCTCTTAATAACAGGGTGAGTGCTTGAATAAGAATTACTGCTAATATTGATTTATTCATTCTAAAAATATTCATTTAGTGCCAAGAATTGCACTAGGTTCTAGGAATGTCCCCTGAAAGGCTTCACAAGCTACATGGGAAATAGACACACAAATACAATTACAAATAATTATGGGTGAAATTGGACAAGTTAAGTAACCCAGCCTGGAAATGAAAATGTACAGAAGAAAATTCAGGAAGTGGTGTTTCCTTGTCTGTCTTAATACTTTAACAGAAATTTAGTCCTATGAAGATGATGGCAGCCCAGTGGAACTGAGTAGGGGATGGGTTATGTTACTTAGAGATCATCCCAGCCAGAGGGGACATCTTGAGCAAAGTCATAAACAAGGGGAAAATGTTGTATATGGAAAATTACAATTGTTACTAGGCCACCTGAGACCAAAGAATGCCTTTTAGGCTATTCTAAATTAATAGCTACTCCCAATATAAGAGACATGTAGTCAGACACTCTTTACTAATCCAACAAATTTTCTTTGTGTATTTCCAAAAAATCCAAACACTAAACATGCACCTTTGTGACTTTAAGTTCAAAAGATTTATCTTTATGCAAGGAAATATTAGTAGTTATACATATGGCACTAATTTAGTAATATTGAGAAAGCCTTTTTTCTCCTTTCTGGACACTCCCTTACCCCTAATATTTTTCATATAGTTTTTAACAGTGCCTTAAATTGAATTATTAGACAATCCTTTTTATAGGAGAATTGTCCTCTCTTCCCAAGCACTCTTAAAAATAAAAAGGAGAAAGTTTCATTGAATATAACTAATGTGTGTATCATATTACAATTTCTGAATGACATTCATGTACACAACCTCATTTATTTCTTATACTTATTCTTCAAAACAAACCAGTTTTATTCCCATTTTATTGAGGTGGAAAATGAGATTGAATGACTTGCCAGACTTCATGCAATCAGTGATGAAGGAGCAGCAAATGTTAGTTTCTTAGAAATTCAGATCTTGTTAAGACACAGATTTTGATTCAACAGGTCTAGAGTGTAGCCCAAGATTCAGCAATTCTGTTTCCACGGCTGATTGCCCGTGGATCCCACTTTGGGTGTTATAGGTCTAAAGTATGAAATGTGAAATCACCTGACCTGAGTTGAGGTCCTTACTCAGCTGATTATTATCCCTGGAACTTTGAATTAATCACTTAATTTGAATAAACTTTAGTTTTATAATTTGCAGAAATTCACACTTGTAATAAGTGATCATCCCTGCCACTTGTAAAATTCTACGACTTTTTCGTTAATTTATTCATTGATGTAAAACCATTCTTTTAACCCTAAGATTTTCCCATTGTATTTGAGCTAAATGGTTAATAATAAACTGAGAATATGTCAGTAATATAGAGAAATGTGCTCCTTTCTGCAAGGTCTGTCTTGTTACATATTTAAAGAAGAGTAAATTTATTGCTTGTGTTTTACTGAGTAGATGTTAATTTTTATATGCAATTGTTTAAATAATTGAACAATTGTCATTATAGTATTCTTTGAAATTTACTTAAGATATTACCTAATAGCAATGTGATAGGTTTACAGTTGTTTATATCCTTGTGTAAGGAAATATTTTTGAGAAATCATTTAAATGTCTTGTAAATGGTGCCCTCTGGTGGAAGGATATGCTATTTTTTAGAAGCAAATGCAGTCCTCAATTATGTAATTAAAACTACTATACTGTTTCTTTTCATTTTTCTCTTCTCTTCCTCCTTCTTCCCCCTATTATTTTTTATCTACTCCCTTGCTTCTTTTTGTATTTGTTAAATTAAAATCTATAGCTAAAAATAAAAAGTATCTTTGTGGGCAATATATTTGCTATTGCCTAACCAAGTTCTAAATGTCCTTTAGAAATAACTTGTTTGTTCAAGAAACCTTCAGTTAACCAAAAAGTTATTATAAGGAAATATCAGTTCATTAAGATTTAGAAATGGCATGGCTATCACATTGAAAAAATAGCTTAAAATTTCTAATCGCAATAGAATGAATTGTGATAATTTTATAAATATTTCAAAATAGTAATATAAGTTTAATAAGTTTCCTTTCCCATCACCAAGTGTGTGTGTACATATATATATTTATATTTATATTAAAGGCACCATACGTAATGCTATTTATAAATTATTGCTAAGGTGTTTTTAAGAAAAATTTATTTCAAAAAATACATCACAATGTCTAATTCTGAGGCAATTTTGAATGCAAACTTTTCTATTTATTATTTTAAAAATATTCACTCAATAGATATTTGCATCTAGCATGGATTATGCCTTTTTCTGGGGTATAGTAAACCAATTAACTCAGCACAGTTTTATAGCTTTGTATAATAAATGTAGAAAGTGCACATTCCTACAGAGAAAACTGCTTCGAAAAGGTTTTTTTTACAACATGGCTTTATTTGACTTTGAATTTCTAAATCAATCTGCAAGCTAATAATTATACACTTCTTTCATCTTGAGGCTATACAATAAGTTCTAGGATTCATCTGTGATTTTTTTCTTATCAAGAGTTTTTAAGTGTATAGTTTTTAGTTCAGCTTTATTTGACTTTACTTTGTAGTGTTAGCCTTAGAGACAT